GTGAGTCAAAGTTATCCACATCATTCTTCAACGTACAGTACACATGCGTAATTATCATCATATACACGGGAAGCGTTAAACCTTTGAGCTGGGAAAAGAGAGGTAATGAGGGTTGATCCAAGAAAGGGTAGATAAGTCCAATTCCTAGGAAAAGGTGCCCCCTTTCTGGCATGCCGGCACCTTCCTTGAGGGGAAGCAGAGATGTAATAAATGCTGGTAAATAGAATAAATAAGTGCGTGTGTATATTCGATATTTAAAAATGAAGTAAAATTTTGTTACTCAAAGAAAGCCATGACTCGTTCGTTACGAATTTTCAGCACAATGACAAATGACTTCGAGACAAAAGTTACAGCTAGTCTTTAGCTGGTGCAGTCAAGGATTCTCCATAGACATGACTGAGCTGTGGGTAGTGGCCCTCGCTGACTTTCCCGGTACATGCTGTGGTTGGGACTTATAATCAAAACCAAGCGATAAACCCACTAGGGACCTAGGGTTTGAATCCCAATCAGTAATGAATTCTTACATTTATTCAAATATAAATTTTTAGCTTATTGACAAAATGACTTAAATGGACAAGAGCTAGAGCTAGTCATTATTAGACTCATAACTAAGTGCTAAACCCATAAGGGTCAGCACTGCAGAGTCGGGTGTGCTATTACAATCAAAACTAAGCGATAAACCTATAAGGGTCATACGTAGAATCTGGGGATCTCCATGAAAGCTCATCATTGTGACAGTTGCTGACCATAACCAACCTTCCCAGGGTTGTGTTGTGCAACTCTTGCAACTCTGCTCCCTTAAACTGTGCATCAGGCTGGTAATCTCAGACTGCGGGCGCAAATTTTGATCACTCCATTGAAATGTATGTAATGTATATATGTAACTTATGTATATATGTATGTAATGTATATACGTATATATCTGTAATGTATTGTATAAGTCATGCCGCATAGGTAAAACAATTCAATTAGCAAGAACTCGTTTAAAATTAAGTCCTTTCTAAAATTTCCTCTTATGCGTTTAGATATATATTTTTTCATTTATGTTAATGTAAAAATTAATTTTGTATCAAAAGAACCTTAGAAAACTTACCTAACCTTATCATAACAAGTGCAATTTAATTTAGCCTAATCCAACTAAATGTATTTTAAATAAGTTTACAATAATTTAATAATAAACAAACACAATGAGATATATTTTTTTCGTTAGGTTCAGAATGATTTTTGCGAAATTACTGCATACACAAATTTTCGCTTGCCTTATTCGGCAAGAAGAGCATTGCTATTTAAGCCAAAATCGCAGTTTTTACCTATTAGGCACAACATGTATATATTATATATAGGTTGGTAGACAGCACCCGTTCAGGGAGGTACTACCGTCCTACCAAGCAAGTGTAAAAAGGAAGCCTGTATTTGTGTTACATAATGGTAGGAGTGCTGGTGTTTTTCAGTCTCATAAACATGCAAGATTTCAGGTACATCTTGCTACTTCTACTTACACTTAGATCACACTACACATGTACACGTTTAGGTATACACACACATATGAGTTTTCTTTGATTTCATCTTAAGAGTTCTTGTTTTTATTGCTTTAACTTTTCATATCCATGTGGAAATGGAATAAGAATCTTTCATCCGTACGCCATGCGTATTGTGAAAGTCAACTAAAATGCCGGGAACAATGGGCTAGTAACCCTTTTTCCCGTATAGTACTAAAAAGAAAAAGAAAACAAAGTGGATGTTTGAATGTGCGTGGACGTTGTGCGAATGATAAGAAAGAGACGATTATGGATGCTATGAATGAGAAGAAGCTGGATGTCCTGGCTTTAAGTGAAACAAAGCTGTAGGGGATAGAGTTTCAGTGGAGGAGAAATAAATGGGATTAGGTCAGGGATTTCAAATAATTAGAGCTAAAGGAGTAGCAATAATGTTGAAAAATAAGTTATGGCAGGAAAAGAGGGAATATAAATGTATAAATTCAAGGATTATGTGGTGTAAAATAAGGGTTAAATGTGAAAAGTGAGTTATAGTAAGTTTATGCACCCGGAGAAGAGAGGTTTAGAGGAGAGAGAGAGATTTTGGGAAATGTTGAGTGAGTGCATAGGGAGTTTTGAACCAAGTGAGAGAGTACTTGTGGGTGGGGATCTCAATGCTAAAGTGGGTAAAAATGTTGTAGAGGGAGTAGTACGTAAAAAATAGGGAGCCTTTAGTTGAGCTATGTGTAGAAAAAAGTTTGGTAATACCTGGAGTTTACCTGGAGAGAGTTCCGGGGGTCAACGCCCCCGCGGCCCGGTCTGAGACCAGGCCTCCTGGTGGATCAGAGCCTGATCAGCCAGGCTGTTGCTGCTGGCTGCACGCAAACCAACATACGAGCCACAGCCCGGCTGATCCGGAACTGACTTTAGGTGCTTGTCCAGTGCCAGCTTGAAGACTGCCAGGGGTCTGTTGGTAATCCCCCTTATGTGTGCTGGGAGGCAGTTGAACAGTCTCGGGCCCCTGACACTTATTGTATGGTCTCTTAACGTGCTAGTGACACCCCTGCTTTTCATTGGGGGATGGTGCATCGTCTGCCAAGTCTTTGCTTTCGTAGTGGGTGATTTTCGTGTGCAAGTTCGGTACTAGTCCCTCTAGGATTTTTTCCAGGTGTATATAATCATGTATCTCTCCCTCCTGCGTTCCAGGGAATACAGGTTTAGGAACCTCAAGCGCTCCCAATAATTGAGGTGTTTTATCTCCGTTATGCGCGCCGTGAAAGTTCTCTGTACATTTTCTAGGTCGGCAATTTCACCTGCCTTGAAAGGTGCTGTTAGTGTGCAGCAATACTCCAGCCTAATAGAACAAGGACCTGAAGAGTGTCATCATGGGCTTGGCCTCCCTAGTTTTGAAGGTTCTCATTATCCACCCTGTCATTTTTCTAGCAGATGCGATTGATACAGTGTTATGGTCCTTGAAGGTGAGATCCTCCGACATGATCACTCCCGGGTCTTTGACGTTGGTGTTTCGCTCTATTTTGTGGCCAGAATTTGTTTTGTACTCTGATGAAGATTTAATTTCCTATGTTTACCATATTGAGTAATTGAAATTTCTCATCGTTGAACTTCATATTGTTTTCTGCAGCCCACTGAAAGATTTGGTTGATGTCTCCCTGGAGTTTTGCAGTGTCTGCAATGGAAGACACTGTCATCAGATTCGGGTGTCATCTGCAAAGGAAGACACGGTGCTGTGGCGGGACATCCTGTCTATGTCGGATATAAGGATGAGGAACAAGATGGGAGCGAGTACTGTGCCCTTTTGGAACAGAGCTTTTCACCGTAGCTGCCTCGGACTTTACTCTGTTGACGACTACTCTCGTGTTTTGTTAGTGAGGAAATTATAGATCCATCGACCCACTTTTTCCCGTTTTTTCCCTTTTGCACGCATTTTGTGCGCTATTAGCCATGGTCCCCACTTGTCGAAGGCTTTTGCAAAGTCTGTATATTTTTACATCTGCATTCTTTTTGTCTTCTAGTGCATTTAGGACCTTGTCGTAGTGGGCCAATAGTTGAGACAGACAGGAGCGACCTGTTCTAAACCCATGTTGCCCTGGGTTGTGTAACTGATGGTTTCTAGATGCGTGAATCTTGCCTTCTTAGGACCCCTTTTAAAGATTTTTATGATATGGGATGTTAGTGCTATTTGGCTGTAGTTCTTTGCTGTTGCTTTACTGCCCCTTTGTGGAGTGGGGCTATGTCTGTTGTTTTTAGTAACCTGTGGGACGACCCCCGTGTCCATGCTCCCTCTCCATAGGATGGAAAGGCTCGTGATAGGGGCTTCTTGCATTCTTGATGAACACGAGTTCCATGAGTCTGGCCCTGGGGCAGAGTGATGGGCATGTCATTTATCGCCTGTTCGAAGTCATTGGCGTCAGGATAACATCGGATAGGCTTGTGTTAATCAAATTTTGTGGCTCTCTCATAAAAATTTCATTTTGATCTTCGACTCTCAGTCTGGTTAGCGGCTTGCTAAAAAATGAGTCATTTTGGGGACTTGAGTAGCTCACTCTTTTCCTTGTTGTCATCTGTGTAGGACCCATCTTTTTTAAGTAGGGCCCAATACGGGACGTTGTTCTCGATTTTGATTTGGCAAAAGGAGAAGAAATACTTTGGGTTTTTTCGATTTCATTTATGGCTTTTAGTTCTTCCCGCGATTCCTGACTCTAAAGGATTCTTTTAGCTTAATGTTCGATGCTTGCTATTTCTCTGCCCAGTGCTCCCTACGCATTTCAGTTTATTGACCTCTTTTACCGCTCTGTTAATTCTTTTCCGTCGCCTGTAAAGGGAGCGCCTGTCTCTTTCTGTTTTACATCTACTCCTCCTTTTCTTAGAGGAATAAGCCTTGTGCATTTCATCGAGTGCTACCGAGTTAATTGTTCTAGGCATAAGTTGGGGTCTGTGTTGCTTAGTATATCTTCCCAGCTTATATCGGTTAGGACTTGGTTACTTGTCCCACTTTATGTTTTTGTTATTGAAGTTGAATTTGGTGAATGCTCCTCGTGACTTTAAACTCATTATGTCGGTCTGGGGCTCCGCGCATACATGACTGAACCTCAATTATGTTTTTGATCTGAGTATATTGTTTTTGATAGTGATATTTCTTATCAGATCATCATTGTTAGTGAAGATGAGGTCTAGTGTATTCTCCAGTCTAGTAGGCTCTATTATTTGCTGGTTTAAATTGAATTTTGTGCAGAGATTTAAAAGCTCGCGTGAGTGTGAGTTTTCATCAGAGCTGCCCTCTGGTGTTATTACTGCAACAATATTATTTGCTATATTCCTCCATTTTAGGTGCCTTAAGTTGAAATCCCCCAGGAGCAAGATGTTTGGGTGCGGGAGCTGGAAGGTTTTCCAGACAGTGGTCAATTTTTAACAGCTGTTCCTGGAATTGCTGGATGTTGCATCCGGAGGCTTGTAGACTATCACAATGACTAGTTTTGGTTCTCGACCTTTACTGCTAAAACTTCC